ACAAAATGTTTTGAATCCTTTTGATCTTTCATCTCAAAGCCTCATCTTTAAAAAAAAATAAAAATGATATCCAAAGAAACTTGCATGATGAGTAATAGAATTGGCCATGTAAACATTGCTAGGGGTGTTCGCGGTGCGGTTTGGGCGGTTTTGAAGCAAAAAATCACCCGAACCGCAAGAGAAAAAAACATGCAGTTCGGTTTGGTTCGGTTGGCTTTTAAAAATAAATTCGAACCAAACCAAACCAAACTAATGCGGTTTGGATTGGTTCGGTTTTTTACAAAGAAAAATTTATTAAGCCATACATACACATATAGAGGAAAATATAATTTTGTGTTTAATTGTTCATACATTACCATAAAAATATTTACATGTGTCAAAATAAGTTTGTAATTTGATACAGAAAATTGCATATTATAATTTTATCTAAATCTAAAGAATTATATAGATAAGATTGCATTCTTAAATAAAGAATGATATAGACAATGTTGCATTCTTAAATAAATATTATACAAAGAATACGATAAAATATATTTTGTGAAAGTAGTATTTATAAATGAATAATATTTTATTTTTTTATGATTTGAAAATTAAAATAAATATCATACAAAGTATGATAAAATATACACATAATACATGTTGATTTCTCTAAAGAATTAAAAAATATATATATTGGATAGTAAAATTTTATAACATAATACGATTTTGTTTGGTTTGGTTCGGTTTGAAAAATACAAACCGCAAACCGAACCGAAACGAGCGGTTCCGTTAGAAAATGACCCAAACACATCCGAACTAAATGCGGTTTTTTGCGGTTTCGGTTTGATTCAATTTAGTTTTGCAGTTTTCTATTGGGTCATTTTGGTTTTGAACACCCCTAAACATTGCAACCTTGTAACTTGAAGACCAAAAAGAAAAATGTAAACCATATTCCCAAACCTAGCATGCACTTGAGTAATCTTGAGGGCCCATGATGATCCATGAAAGTCATATGAGGCATTGGAAGTTCAAAAATCTTTGTGCAAACTCAAACCCTAATTTCAGTCATCAGTGCTCAAGAAGGTGTCTTGAGCTGATCAAACCCTAGTGCAGTCTTGAGTTAAGGAGATCTTGTGAGTGAATTCTTAATAAGTGAGAGGGAAAATTTTGGGGTACAACAGTTGCCCCTGTTCAATCTTCTTAAGCCTAAAGATTTAGATTGACATGTTTTTCCATTCGTGACTTTGAAGGTGGAAGATGATTAGACACTAGAGTGCCCATAAATTTGCACTCGGCGATGTGATGGTAGAGGAAATGGGCTTAAAGATGCCATTTGGAGAGGTGATAGAAAGTTGTTGGAGATGGGCGTGTAGATGCCATCTAGGAATGATTGTTGAATTGTAATTTGTAAGTTAAAAGAATGAGTATTAGAATGACATCCGTATCTGGAGCATATCTGAACTGTATCTGAAAGCTGAATGAATATCAGAATGGCGTTTGTGTCTGGAGCGTATCTGAAATGTATCTGAGAGCTGAATGAGTATCATAATAGCGTTCGTGTCTGGAGCGTATCTGAAATGTATCTCGAAGCTGAATGAGTATCAGAATGGTGTTCGTGTCTGAAGCGTATCTGAACTGTATATGAAAGCTGAATGAGTATCAGAATGACATTCGTGTTTGGAGCGTATCTGAACTATATCTGAGAGCTGAATGAGTATCAGAATGGCGTCCGTGTCTGGAGCGTATCTGAATTGTATCTCGAAGCTGAATGAGTATCAGAATGACGTCCATGTCTGGAGCGTATCTGAACTGTATCTGAAAGCTGAATGAGTATCAGAATGGTGTCCGTGTCTGGAGCGTATCTGAACTGTATCTGAAAACTTTGAACATTGTTAATGGTAGTTGTTAACCTTATCCTGAAAAGGGTAAAATGTTAGCTATAATATAAAGTTATGTTTGTATGAAATGCATGGCATAATGCATTCGTGTTATCAATGTTTATGAATATATGAATGCGATGTATGCGTATGTGAGCTAATTTGCTGTACTGTTTTGTTGAATTTTGGGGAAGATAAATTCCTGTCTGCTGCTGAAGTGTAAGTCTTCATGTGGTGAAGTTGAAGTGTTGGTGAATTTCTGTTTGGAGAAATAAACTTTGTTGTAAGGAAAATGCCGTGTACTGTTTGCAAAATTCTGCTTGGGAAATCCAGAGAAATTTGGTGACTCTTATTGGGATTTGATAACTGGAAGCTTTGTTCTGATGGGGATTTTATGGAGGTAGTCTTAGAGAGATTTCCTTATCTCTTAAAGCCATCAGTGATTGTCTTTTTATTTTATTTATTTGTAAACAGTAATTATGTTCAAATGCATATGTTCAACAATAAATCATTGGACGCTTTAGCAAACAAACACATGAGTAAAGAAAGACAAATAGTTCTGTACTTCCAAAGAAATATCTTTGTATTGACTTTGAGTAAGTCTTTTTGTACAATGGGACAAACATTCTAGCAGGAGAATGCTGCCGTAAAAATGAAAATTTTGATACAAAGAAAAGATAGCTATGTGCAATAATCTCATGGGGTTCCCATTCTGCTATAGTCTTTGTGTCTCTGAGCATCTTGTCTGTTTGTTGTCTTGTCCGAAGCTGATTGAATTGATCAGAACCGCTGAGTTTGTTATTTGAAGCCAAAGGTTGTCCTCAAAGTGATCCAACGGGACATAGTCATACGCTTTAATCCCCTAACTTTTGCCTGGACCTCCTTTTCAAGTTTCCAGTCCACCGGGAAACTCTTTTTTGCCCAAGTCCCCCTTTCGGGTTTTCAACTTGTCGGGTGTACAGATTTTGTTTTATCCCTAATTTTTGCCCGAACCTTTTTGGTTCTAGGGGGCACTAACCCTCAAGCGATACAACAGATCAAAGTCTTATTAGATAACAAATTCAACATTAAAGATCTAAGAACACTGAAATATTCCCTAGGTTTTGAAGTGGCTAGAAGTGTATAAGGCATTTCCATTTGCCAAAGGAAGTATGTCCTTGATTTACTCCATAATGTAGGACTTCTTGGTGCAAAACCTTGCCTTACCCCATGCGACCTCATCTTCAACTGCATAAAACCTTATGCACTTCTATCTCTGAACCTACTGCATATAGACGACTCATTGGTCCTTTACTTTATCTCACTCATACTAGACTTGAGATTGCTTACGCAGTGAGTAAACTCAGCTAGTCCCTTGATACTCCAACAGACAAACACATGTTAGCTGGACTTCACGTCTTAAAGTACCTCAAAATTAACCCAAGACAAAGCCTATTGTTCAAATCTTCTTCTTCATTATGTCTCAAAGATTTCTCATATTCAGATTGAGGAGCGTGTCCGGATACTCGAAGATCTACATCTGACACATATTTTTTTCTTAGTGATTCTCTCATAAGCTGGAAAAATAAGAAATAAGTAGTGATTTCCAGATCATCCTCTGAAGCTGAATATCGTTCCCTAACGCACGCTACATGTGAAGGCGTATAACTGTGACAACAAATCTGCCATGCGTATAGCTGTGAATCCTGTGTTCCACGAACGAATCAAGCACATTGGAATAGATTCCCGTGTTGTGTGTGAAAAGGTCTTAGCATGCATCATCCATCTCATGCCAGTCACTACAAAAGAATAGGTTGTGGAGATCTTCACCAAATCCCTTCATCCTGGTCCTTTCAACAATCTTCAAGCCAAGCTTGGCATGATTGACATTTGTTCCAGCTTGGGGGGTTGTGAATAATGATACGAGTAATACAAATAATGATGATGATATGACATATAACTAACTTAGAGAGTTAGTTAGATAGTTAGTAAGGAATGTCTTGTAGTTGGTTATTTAGTTATAACTTCCTACTAAGCTATATAAGAATAGCTACATCATTGTAATAGTTTGAGATTGAACAATATAACTTTTCTCTTCTTCCTCGCATGCAATATTATATCTCTTGGATGTTAAGCAACTGCTGCAACTTAATTCAAGTATGAAGTTGCATTCACCCATAGCATGTTCACAAAGTGTTCGCATGTGTAGGAGCTAATAAGGTTGGTTACTCAAGTCACAAACCGGTCTAAAACATTTGATCAGTTAATGAAAAAGTATTAACAAACTCACATATATGCTGGTCATTTCTTCATTCTGATTTTGAGCCACTTAGCAATGATTTTTTTTTGTTGCTAATTAAACTCACGTCAACTTTACAAGTCAAGCAAATGGTTCAAACTTCAAAACTAATTGCCTTTTAGGCTACTGCTCGTGTGAAAATAACTGCTTATATTACCTTGCTCAACTTAATGGTAGTATAGTGAAAATAAGCAAATGAAGAAAGCTAATAAAGTGACAGAAAATAAACTGGTTCATTTATAAATAAGATGCCACTGTTATGCAAACCATGCTAAAACAGGTCCAATATCAAATTTGTCATGAGGATCACTATTACAAAGTCACATTAATGTTATTTACAACTTATGAGTCATGTCTCTCAAATCAAAATATGCACATACAACTCATGAGACATGACCAAGAAGTTGTAAAAATTAAAACATGATTATTCAAACGACACCTCCTCATAAATTGGAAAAAAGTGTTTTAGGCACAAAAGTCACCCAAAGCAGCTTAGTTTGAATGAATAGGAATAACATTAGAAATCACAACAAAATGCAGCCTATTAGAAAACATTGCTCCTCTTTTTATTCTCATGAGTATGGATCCTCTCTACTGCATTCAGTGTTCTACGGCAAAGCTGTTGCTACAAAATCAAATCTGACAGATAATTGCTGCTCGCCGTAGTTACTCCAGCAGTCATCTCCTTTCTGTATCCTGTAAAAAAACCTGAAGAGAAATGGGAGTGAATAATAGTCACATAGAAATGTGATGCTTAATGAGTAATGTTAAAAGTTATCAAAGAGGAAATTTATACCTGAGATGCCATTGCTTCCATCTTGGTTCCAATCTCACAATCATAGGCCCCTGGTTGATCTGCAAACAGGCTAAACAATAAAAATATCTCGAAAAATGTTCCACACAACACAAAGACTAAGCCAACAATTTTGATGGATGTAGTAGTAAACATATAGTCCCAAAACACAATTAACTGATGTTGAAATAATAAAAAACATCAACTTGAAGTGGTGTTGTTGTATGCCGATGCAAATATTGAAATTAACAAAGTTTATTGATGACATAATGCGAATATTGAAATAACAAAAAAGTATTCCTGAGTCACCCTTATGTGAAAGAAAGAAAAAAAAGTAGTTCAGAGACTCACGTAGGCATGAAACTTATGTGATCAATTCGTCGTCGATAATTATGGCAGGAATGTGAACAATCTTACGCCACTCTTTCCCTCGCTTCCTCCGCAATGTTGCTACCAATAATGGACAGCAAGTGATACTTAGTACTGAAAGAGAGGAAGGCAATCCTTTGGGCAACGACTTGAGTTTGGGAGCATTAACAATCTCAAGGTTTTGGAGAGAATTGAGATGTTGAAGCCACGTCCCATCAATGCTTGTATTATTAAGACCACGAATGCATAATGTCACAAGCGATGCAGGTAGTAATGGCCTCATCAGCATGTTCACTGTACCGTCGCCGTTAATTCGCAACACTGAAAGACAATTGAGATGTTCCCAAGTTGGCTCAATATTCCACATAATCCCTCCAACAGAGCCAACAGTCAATTCCCGCAAAGCATAAGGTAAATCATCTACGACAAAAGATTGAAGATTTGGTAGATTATCAATTTCCATTTCTTGAAGATTAGTTAGAGTGTGCATTGCTTCAGGTAGTGAAGGAAGCTTCTCACACTTCCACACTGCAAAATAAATGAGGTTTGGAGTGGCCAATCCACCTGGGGGAAATGACTCCAGTTCATTACAATCCCATATTTTGAGGCTTCTCAAAACTGAGAGACTCTTTTGCGATGTGTCTTCTGCAGTTAATATTGATTTCAGATTTTTACAACCCTCAATAAACAGACTCTTAAGGACAGGGAGGGCGCCTAAGGTAAATGATATCATTGAATTACAGCTATAAGATATTTTTAATTCTTGAAGCGATGTGTAGTTGTGCAAGTATTCATGAGGAATGAACTCTAGATTCTCACAATTATTGATTATGAGAAATTTCAAGGACTTGGGTAGACTATCTGTTGGGAAAGACATCAGAGACGGAAAGCCATCAATAGTTAGTTGTTGAAGAGAATTTAGAGGGAACGCCAGTTGGTTTAATATATGATTTGATGATGGCATTGATTGCACTAGTAGTGGACATTCTCTTAACTCAAGATTAGATAAGGAAGGAAAATTTTGAAGTATTTTTCCTATTCTCAATTTCGGGCACTTACATAGTGTCAATGTTTTAAGACAAGGAAACTTGGTAGCCGTACCTCCATCCAAGTTCCATTCATCCCACTCTTGCATATCCTCAAAATGAAGAGTCTCCAAGGAGGGAAATGGTTGAAATGAAGAGATATCACTTTCATAGAACTCAGTACCAATTGTCTGTACTGATTGCATCACTTCAATAAAGAGTTCTTTCAGATTTCCCAGCTGTCCAAGGGGTGGAAGCCATAAACAGTCACCACAATTCGAGATCTTCAAATACACCATGTTGCTAAATGAAAAATCACCTAACCAATTTGGAAAGCTGATTCCACCATAACCTTTGATAGTGAGACTTTTCAAACTTGTTGCAGGTTGCAAATGTTCAAATACAACTCTTTTAGTTTGTGAATCTGGAAACGAAATACCACAATCCCAATCCAAAGCTAACTCGTCTATTTGTGTCTTCATCTTTATATTTGATCGATCAGCTTCAGAGGGGTCATCAATATTTTGTAGTTGTGATATGGAAAGTTTTCCTTGTAGGTGGGGAAATTTACCGAGCTCTTCAACCTTCAATCCATCCTTATGCTTGCTTACAATAAAGTCGGACAACGTTTTGAGATTTTTTAGCTTGGCTATTTGTACAGGAATCTCCGTCAATGCAGTGTCACTAATGTCAAGGTGACGCAAATTAACCAATTCTCCCATGTTCTCAGGCAATTCAGTGAGCCTTTTACAGCCTCCCAACAACAAGAACTGCAGATTGTAAAGTCCACATGTTTCAGAAGGCAGCCTTTCAATATTTGTGTGAGAAAGATTTAAGTATTGCAGGTATAACAAATTTCCAATAGAGTTGGGAACCTCGGTAATACTCTTATAGTTTGACAAAGACAACACGTGTAGTTGTTTCATTGTTGGCAACAAGTCATGTACTACCTTGTTCGATAGCAAACAACGAGGAAATTGTTCTTGTAACGGTAATGCTAAAAAGGTGCGTAGACTTTTTATTCCATACAATTTATCAAATTTATCAAATGAGTCATATAGCCCTCTATTGTATGACAACTTACGTACACTTTCATCTGGATTATGTTCGTCCAATCTGATACATTTTGGAGATGAAACCATTGTAGTTAAATCATGGATGAGGTTATGCATTTCAAAGTTTGCTTCCTTATCACCTATAAATCGACGTTGTATCAACGACCTTGACACTAGTACATCAAAGTATTCCTCTCCGACTGTTTCCCAACTTTCTTGATCTGGGGACAATTCTACTAAATCTTCTGCAATCCACAATTGAACAACCAATTTTTTTTCTAAAATGGTCTTCTTTGGAAAAAGAGAGCAATATGCAAAGCATCTTTTTAAAGGAGTCGAAAGATAACAGTAGCTCGATTCTAGAGCAGCGTGCACCTCATGGTTTGTCGAGTCCCAAATGTTACTTTCTAGCACATAATTCCAGTCAGCTGGAGACAACTTGCCGTAAAGAAGAGCCCCAAGTTCAATTGCAGCTAATGGTAATCCATCACACTTTTTTGCAATTTCCCTACCAATTTCTTCTAGATAGGATCGTTGCTGGTTGTCACATGCTCCAAATGCATATCTGGAAAACAAAGACCAACAATCTTCACTTTCCAAAGGTCTCAAATAGTGGACAAAAAGAAAGGTTTGTAAGGATCTTGCAACTCTTTCATCCCGTGTTGTGATGATGATCCTACTTCCCGTATCCCCGGCATTAAAGATGTCCATCAAATATATCCAATCAACAGATTTCGTATCCCACACATCATCCAGGACTAGCAAAAAATTTGAAGTGCTTAGAATTTGCTGCAGTGATACCAATAGAAGATTCGGGTATACGGTAGTCACGTCACTAGTGTGATTTCCTTTTGTTTCGGAAGATTTAAGAATTTGAGAATTAAAGTTATCATTATTGATAGATTGTGAAGTGAAAGATTGAAGAATAGTTTCATAAACACTCAAACGATCAAAATCTTTTGAGATATCTATCCACACTTTTAATTCAAATTTTCCCTTTACTTGAGGATGATCGTAAAGGTGTTTAGCAAGGGTCGTTTTACCAATCCCTCCCATACCAACAATAGAAATGACTCTTATTTTACTATCACCATCATTACTAGACAACAAAAGATCTTTAAGTTTCTCAATATCACGGCCTCTTCCATAAATAAAAGAAGCATCATCATCATCCAAAATAGAACTTGTAGAAGATTCATCATGCAAAACAGTGCTGGAATTGGAGACACTTAACTCAACGAATTGTTCTCCTGAACTCAAGCCTTCTATCTTTTCAATTAATTTTTGCATTTTGGAATTAATCAAACCACTATAGCGTTTAAAAAGGAAAGAAAAGTTTTTCAGCACCTTAGTAGCGGTTTGATTTTGATACTGGATCAAATTGATTTGGTCAAACAAATTGTCAGCTTCAAAGACAGCATCTCGCAGCATATCCAGCCTCACCAGTGTTGTCTTTAGCTTTTCCAAGAGCGAAAAGTCCAGATGGAAGTAGTCCACGAACTCGGTTGAAACAAGCTTTTCTAACAACACTTCCACAAAAGCTGAGATCAGTTTTTCTTCTATACCCTCCATTCTTAGTTCCTAACTTTGCATGAACAACAAGACAAGAGGAGGTATAATAAAACTACAATCCAGACTCGTTGACTTTACTTATTCTCCATTATTGAATTTAAAGTATATATGTATATTCTATTGCAACTTGCAAGTTTTAGGTACCTCTAATTTCACACCTTTATTTAATTGTGGTCATTTTGGAGAGAAATCCTTAATATTGTTTGCAATGTTTTTTCATCTGTCAAACAAAATTTAGAATATTTTTTTTGCAATAATTAACTTTTGAAAAAAATTTCACAAATAACTGTGTTTCGGAGAAAATTACGTAAATAATCATGTTTCAGAAAATCCTACAAAGGAGGAGCCAACCCAGTTAGCGTCTGCACTAGCCTATTTGACCTAGACGTCATCTCACTTGGCGTATGCTCTCTCTTTTAGCCAAGTGAGATGGCACATGCACTCTAAAAGTGAGAGGAGGCGCCATCTCACTTGGCGCCTAGGGCAAAATGCATTTTTTTATAAATAAGTCATCCGTTTCTCCGTCATTTTTCACACTTTCTCGCACTGTCTTCTTATTTTTTTCTCTGTTATTTGCGTCATGACATCTCCCATGATTTTTACCAGAGATGATTACGTTATTTTCTCGGCCACCAAACTTCCGATGAAAATGAAATTTTGGCACATTCACTCCATGGAGCGTCTGAAGAGAGAGTTGATGCGATGGCTAGAGGGGGACATCGAGGATGGAGAACAAATTAAAAGGATCCAGCGAAGAAGAACAACCACCTTACTTGTTACATGAAGACCTAATTTTTGGTTGAAGGAAGTCAAAACAGACAGAGATGTAATATTGATGATGCATGGGTCAGATGAAATTGTTTTAACGGTTGTAATTTCTTAGACATTTTATCGTGTTTTTATTTGTTGTTTGCGTAAGGTTTGTTGTAACAAATGCTCTTAATGAAAAACCGTAATGTTTAGAACTTAAAAAAGTAAAGATGTTTTGCATATAATTTTTATGTAGTTGGGCTAGTAGCCCGAGTCAGACAATTTTTGCGATTGTGTCCGACCTGACGATATAAACCACACTTTCTTTCTAGCTTGTCAAGTGAGTCCATTTCAGTTGTGATGCGCTTGCTTTTAGGATGACCCTTTTTATTCCTTCGCATTTGGTCGTTGTGCCATACTATTTCGCTGTCGTATGCAAGCCAATAATCAGGTTTCGCTACCTATGGAAAGTTGTTGTTGTATATGTTGAGCAAGGTTTTAGACTTGTAAATGGGAGATAGAAGTTATAATGCGTCTTGATGAGTATAGGCACATGCCACAATGACATGAGAGCAAAGCATACGAAAGGCTTGAAACTTGCCACAATCGCACCAACGAGAAGGTAGTATAACCCTATACTTTTGTCTTGGCAGCCCCTCATTATGGTCGATTGTCCCTTTGACAATGAAGTTGTGGTTGTGTCGGTCGAACCGTATAACCAGATGGGTGTTGGCTTTGGAACTTTCTGCCTTAATATACTTCATGCAGCTTTCACTCCATAATTGTCCCGATTGCAAGACAATATTCCACATTTCACCTCTTTTGGCAAACAACGAAGCCATCTTAAAATATGTTGATTTAACCAAAGAAGTTACTGAGAGGTTTCGTACGCCTTTGAATACCACGTTCATGGATTCAATCAGATTTGTTGTCATGTGGCCCCATCGTTGTCCATTATTGTATGACCTAGTCCATTTCTCCACCGGAATATTATCGATCCACCTACCTGCATTCGGATTTAACAATCTGATCTCGTTGCGATAATGTTTAAACGTAGGTTATGTTAATGCATACCCTGCATTCATAACCGCTTTCCTAAGAGCTTTGCCTTTGATCTCCCTCGTGAAATTTTGGACGATATGTCTAATGCAATAGACATGCGTAGAAGGAGGGTCATGCCAACCGTTTGCAGGATTGTTGTATGCACTCTCAATAGATGCATGTCTATCGGAGATCAAACAGAGATCTGGTTGGGGAGCCACGTGTGTTCGGAGATTATTGAGAAAGAAACTTCAAGCACCACCAATCTCTCCCTCGACTAGAGCAAAGGCAATTGGGAAAATGTTGTTGTTGCCATCTTGTGCAACTGCCATCAGTAGCGTGCCTTTGTATTTCTCATACAACCAAGTCTCATCAATTTGAATAATAGATTTTCATGACGCAAACCCTGTGATGCAAGGTTGAAAAGCCCAGAACACTCGATTGAATATTCCATTTCCGGTGACTTGAGTACCATCTGGGGTGTACGTCGGCAGTGTTTCCATAATATAAACAGTACCCGGAGAATAAGTCTGAAGTGAATTCAGGTAGCGAGGAAGTTCTTTGTATGACTCCTCCCAGTTTCCATATACCTTTTCAATCTCCTTGGTCTTTGCTAACCACGCCTTTAGGTATGACAAAGTATAGTTATATACTGTAGTGATGTGAGAGATTATAGTTTTCACCTTCAATGATGGATCATTGCTGACGAGAGGTAAGATTTCTTGACAAATGAGATCATAATTTAGTTTCTGATGATCCTGTGATTGAGTAGAATTGATGCACGTGTGGGTGGACATAGAACATATGACTCAATAATCACCTCTTAATCTGTATGGTGCAGTGAGCTTGAACATACAATCTGGGTGGACACACCTGAGCTTGTACCTTTCTGGATTTACACGATCTACCTTAAAATCGACCGAGTTAAGCATGTGAAACTTTTTTATGGCTCAGATACAATCTTCTATATTAAGAAATTTGTCTTTCTCTTTTAAGTTTTCATCCGACTGCATATACGGATTGAAAAATAAATCAGATGACGGTTCATCTCCACCCATGTTGAAGTTTGTCATATGTGGAGGTGGTGTGTAGATCTCGTTCGGAGGTATACCATGTACCCCATCGTCTTCAGAATCATCATTGACCATGTCGCAAACTCTAACTCGTCATCTTCTTCTTCATCAACGACATCTACTTCTGCTTGTTCGGCCTCGAGAGAATCAACCCCTTGTGACAGCTGAGGCTCTCGCAGCATAATGTACAACTCAATAGAGTCATACCCAGAATACTCATGACTGGAAAACATATTTTGAAGGTCCTCATCATCTTGAACCTCAACCTTATAAAATATTATTTGGTTGTCACAAAAAAACCGGATTCTGATAAAAAAATTGTGTCACGGGACCTTGTCCAAGTTTGGCCTCCAATCGTTTTTTGAAATACAAGAAATTGGCTTTCCTGTTTAAACAAAATCAGATGTTCTCAGTGTCTCTAAACAAAAACCTAGAGGTGGGACAAATGTATGTCTCACCGTCAAAATGTGCATTGATCACATATTGTGGTGCAGGGGCCAGTGTGTTTGAATGTTTGATGGTTTGGAGGTTTGAGTGTTTAAAGGTTTAAGTGTTTGAGTATTTAAGTTGATTGTTTGAATTTTTGAATGTTCGAGTGTTTAAGTAATTGAGTGTAGAAGTGTTTTGATAAATGTAGGATTAAATAGGTTCTACTGAATTTGAATAAAACAATAGTAAGCAACCTCTAATTCGCCAACTGGGATGTCCAATCATATTACATGCAAACAGAAATGCCTTCCCCAAGGATGTCAACTAGCATGCACCTACACTGCAACCCATGCCACCTCTATTTCTCCAACTGGGATGACGACACCTTTCAATTTTGTACTCATTCGCCAAGTCAAATGGCGCCTCCCTACATGTCCAATTGTATTACATGCAGGCAGAGATGCCTTCCCCAAGGATGTCAACTAGCCTGCACCTACACTGCAACCCATGCCACCTCTATTTTTCCAACTGGGATGGCGACACCTTTCAATTTTGTACTCATTCGCCAATTCAAATGGCGCCTCCCTACATGTCCAGTCGTATTACATGCAAGCAGAGATTCCTTCCCCAAGGTTGTCAACTAGCCTGCACCTACCCTGCAACCCATGCCACCTCTAATTTGCCAACTAGGATGATGACACCTTTCAATTTTGTACTCATTCGCCAAGTCCAATGGAGCCTCCCTACATGTCCAATCGTATTACATGCAAGCTGAGATGCCTTCCCCAAGACTGTCAACTAGCCTGCACCTACACTGCAACCCATGCCACCTCTATTTCTCCAACTGGGATGGCAACACCTTTCAATTTTGTACTCATTCGCCAAGTCAAATGGCGCCTCCCTACATGTCCAATCATATTACATGCATGCAGAGATGCCTTCCCCAAGGCTGCCACCTAGCATGCACCTACACTGCAAGAGTGACACTTATCATGCATGCATGCACCCATCAACCACCTCATTTATTCACTCCGTGATAAAAAATTTCCTATAAATACAGAGCCCCACATACTTGTTTTACATCAACAATCATCTCACTCTCTTCTACAAACTCTTTCATTATGTCATACAATTTCAACTATGGCTCTTCTCACAATGAGCGATTCTCACATTGGCACAAGGGACAATATTTCAGCGTTTGTAAGTTTTTATAAATTCTCAAATTTTCTTGTATATTTATAAAATTTTTTATAATATTATTAATGATTTATACATCTTATGGACTCTTACACTTTTTACATTTTGAATTTAGGATACTAAAAGATTCAGAATTTGGTCACACAACTACATTGCTCCCAACCCGTTGATCGTGCTCTATCTCGAATATGCAGGTTTCAGAAATGTTATAAAGATCTCCAACTGCACGATTGATTCAAAGTTCATACTTGCAATGTTGGAAATGTGGATACCCGAGACACACACATTTCATCTACCAATAGGTGAATGTACCGTCACACTAGAGGACGTGTACATGTTATTGGGTCTCCCTGTCGATGGTAAGGCGGTTAACGGGTCGACTCAACAGCCCAATTCTCTGTGCGAGGAATTGTTGGACAAGGATATGGTTTAAGGTGGTGGTGCTAGAGGCCAAGGTTTACTACTTACTGAACTCAAAAATCATTATGCGACTCTGGAGTTGAACAAAAA